TTAATTGGGATTAAACCCATTTGAATAACTACTAAGAAGTGATGGTTACAATTAAAATATTTACAAGTAGATGAATACGTACAATCAGCCACAGCTCTCTTCCCACTGCAGATAGCTTGTCTCAGAGTGACACATCGCTGTCTCTTGTTCAGAACTGCACTGTCTTTACAAGGTCTGGGACCCCAGGTGCTGAGCAAGTACCAACAGATCACAGAACTGGCACAACACCACATGCAAGTCATGGGATCAGTGGTTGAAAAGAGCTGTGGCTTTGTACTACCAAAGATGCAGACACTCAAGAAGGGGAGTGTGAGGTAGGGCTTTAATTAGATGTGTGACTTGACAGCCCATCTCTATCCCCAGAAGCTCAGCACAGCAGTACTCCAACCCTGCACAATTGCCTCTGGGTGTTTCTGCAGTATGAAAGCTCCAGTATGTTTCTAGATATGAGAGAACAGTTGACTCTGGACAAAGATAAAAATATTTTGCAAGCTCTTAGCTTGCCTGGGGTTGGAGGGTACCTGTCTCCTCCCAGCAGGGTGCTGGGCCATCCCAGCTGGATGAAGCTTCTCCAGAGCCAGCCTCCACACTGGCTCGTGCAGCTTGGCAAAAGATGTATGCAAGATGCAAGTTGGGGTTAGATACCACGTCTGGGGCAGGAGCGAGGACTTGCTGCTTTATTTGTGTGTGTTACCTCAGAAGAGATAACATGCCCCTGAGCTGTCAGCTTCACCTGGATTCACCTTGAGACTAGATAAACTATGACGTTGGGAACAAGATTACAGAGCAAACAAACCCCAAAACAAAGTTCCTTTTATCTGTCCCAGAAGCCTACCTGCAATTTTTCTCTTGTCTTCTAGCTGCCAGAGCTGGGGGGGGGGCAGGTTCAGAGAAACACTCATCCATCAACTAGTAATACTGTCTGATTCAGGGTCAGAAACTATCTGGCAACAGAGAGGATTCATTCTTGGGAAACCCATTCCTTGCTCCCCCTTCAGGACTGCTGCTCTTTGGACACACTCTGTAGCTTCCTCTACCTGTGTTCAAGAGAGCAATTACCTCTCATGTTTATACCTTAAACCTGATTCACATTGCTGTGCAAGAGAAACAGTGGTATTGCCAATGGGGGAAAGAGGTGAATGGAAATCTATAAAATATTAAAGGAGTCCCCAGATCAGAGCTATCAAAGGAAATTCTCGCTGTTCATAACTGTGAAGTCACTGTCTCTAGCATGCTATCAACTGTCTCCTCCCTTTTTAGGCACAACTCTGGCATTACACAGACAAGAGACTGACGACAAATACTCTGTCCAAACCACATCTCTTCACACCTCCCTGGACACATACTCCTCTTTTGGAAGTGTCAGGAATTCTGTAGCATCACAGAAGTGAAACTTGATGCTTCCTATGAAAGTCAAATGAATACTTAAAAAAACCTTAACTGAAACAACAGATTTGAGACTATTCAGGAATGCTGTACCTGTGAGAGTCTAAGGGCACAAAAGCAAGGTAGGGTCTACAAGAGGACATGCCTAATAAAGGACATTACCTCGCCCTCAAACATTGCTGAACATATTTAGTGCATTCACAGAGTCTCTCAATCAGTAGCCTCAGGCCTGCAACTAGAGTTCTGTTTCTGCCTGGACAGATACTTGACTAAAATCAGGCTGGTGGGCAGAGGACTCCTCTAGGGTCAGATTACAGGGCTGGAGACAAAATTTTTCATGCTTGTGTGCACACACTCCCAAGGTTAAGGCAAATTAACAAGGGGAGTGAGGTAATTTATCATGCATATGTTTAAATATATTTATGTTCTAGTGCAAAAGTGCTTGCTTAGGGAGTAGGAGCCTTTACTTTGGTGCCCCATATGTTTCTCTTGGAAGACCAGCTTGAATTCAACCCCCCAGCTCATGGATTTTCTGTTAAGAGTAGCCCTGCACAGCAGGCTGCCAGTTCACAACACAAACACTGCAAACAGTTCTTGCCTGTCCTAGGCTAGAGACTCAGGTACTGAACCTGTCCACAACAGGTGGATAGATACAGTCACCATTAACAAGGAAAATCACACAGTAACATATACTAACCCATGCAAGGTTAGACTGGCTTAAAGCTCAAGAATTGAGCCCAGTAGCAGGACCACTCAAACACGACACATTTGGCTAAAGTGGTTTCAACAAACCCAAACTGCTTCCAGATTGGGGTGTTTTGTTTGGTTTTGTTCTTAAAAAAAAACAAAACAAAACAAAACCAAAACTAAAACAAAACAAAAAAAAAACCCAAACAAAAACAAAAACAAACAAACAAAAAAAAAAACAACCCAAACAAACCAACCAAAAAAAAAAAAAACCAAAAAAAAGCACCCAAACCTTATCCCTCTGTCCTGTTTGCCACTTCCCCAACAGCCAAAGGGATTCAACAATTTAAATTCTGTTATTAGTGGTTTGCAGCAAGATGGCTGGCTCTGCATTGCTAGGGTAGCAAAAACACAGCAAGCAGGTCAGATGATGCCAGTCAGTATTTGTGAGATCCCACCTGGATAATGGGTCCAGCTTTGGGCCTCCCAGTACAAGAAACATCAACAACTGGAACATGTCCAGCCAAGGGGCAAACAATATAGTGTTGGGGCTGGAGCATAGGATGGATCAAAAGAGAGCGAGTTCACTCTGCCTGGGTGAAGACACAGGGGGATCTAACTGCTGTCTACCACTACATAAAAAGTAGGTAGAGAGAAGCCAGAGACAGACCCTTCCTGGGCATGTATGGCAGAATGAAAAGAGGCAACATGCATTAGCTGCAGCAAGGAAAATTCTCATTAGACAGAAGGAAAAATATTTTCCCCCGCAATGAGTGTGGTCAAACTCTGTAACGGACCCAGAGTGGTAAGAAAATCTCTGTCCTTGGTTGTTTCTGAAGCTTACCTGGCCAACGATCTGAGTTAAATCTGACCTAAATTTGAAGTTGGCCTTGCTTTGAGCAGGTGTTGGACTGGAGACCTCCCAGAAGCCACTTCCAGTTAAACTTTTCTATTATTCTGTAAACAAGCCTCAAGCCAGTGACTTCTTGAAATTATCTATCTACATCACAAGACCACATCTAGGTGCTGAGCTGGCATCCTCTTCCTTGTGAGTCTCCAGATGAAGGTTTAATACACACACATCTTATCTGCATAAACTCCTTTCCCAATTTTATCATAATTTCCCAGGGCCTCTCCACACAGACAAGCCTCACAAAGGAATGCGTGACCATCCCAGAAACTGAGCCAGTGTGTTTCATCACCTCATCAAATCACTGAAGCCTTCAATTATGGTACGCTTTTCAAGTGTGTTAATTAGGGAGCTACAATTTGATCTTCAAGATGATACTGAAGCATGTTGCTATGAAAACATTTCTTTTAAAAAGTTCATTAAAATGTTCTGACATTCAGAACACACAATGGTTACTAAAACCAGCCATTACAAAAACCAAGTTCATCAATGTTTACCCTGCTTTTATTTAAGTCATCTAATAAAGAACATCCACTCCAGCTTGTGGGGAATTTCAGATTTCAAAACAAGGGACTGCCCCAGACACCTTCCTCTCACTCATTCCCATGGCACAAATGAAGCTGGAGGAAGAGCAGGAGCATCTCTCACCACCCCAGCCCAAGCAGCTGCCAGACTGGGATTCAAATGGGATGCAAAGGGCTGCAATCCCCCAGGAGGCGCAAAGAAGCAAGGCAGTGAGGAAAAGACCCTGATCACAGCTAGGAGTGAACCTCTGCCCAAATATAGCATCCGGAGGTAGAAACTGAGCTAAGCTAACTAGAGCCACATTTGTCAGAAATGGGTGGTTTCTACATCACCAGAACACCTGGAGAAGTCATTTCCTAACCTTGAGGGCAACAGAAAACACAAGCCTCTGCTGATCAATCTGGGTTTGTCTAGATACGAGTCAGCAGGACATGGGTCACTCAGAGGTCAGCTGCTGATAAGGCATGAGCTGCTTATAAACACATCCAGGTAAGATTATTGGGGTCAACACAGATAAGCTGATCTTCAGGTTAATTTAAGAAGTAACAGTTTCTTTCACTGGGTGGTCTTGGAAAAGTCTCTCAAGTTCAACATATCACAACAACACTAACAGATGGCACACATAGGGATTTAAAAAACACAGTAAAAACCAGGGCTGACACTGGAGCTGGAGTGGGTCTCCCCGTGTCCAGGAGAGGGAGTTGATCCAGTGTTATGGCCTACAGAGATCCTGGAGGCTCAGCCAGTCTCTCCAGAAGTAAGAGACACCCCACCTCCAAATAATTTCCACCCCGAGGAGCAACAAGGATCCTCTCCTCCTTCTCCCAAACTAGTGTGGGTTGTAGGCAGCCTGCCAGACACTACCACCAGAGAGGAGGGAGGAGGAAAGTCTTTGCACGAAAGCCTGGGGTTAGTTTGGCATGCAGGGGTGGAGATAAGAGCAACTTACCCCCCTAATGGGACAGGAACAAGCAGGGAAACCGGTTATGGCCTGAGGAACAGCCCTCCCTGACTTTTACCATATAAGATGGAATATTGGTGGACCCCTTGCCTAATTACAGGGGACACATTCAGCTTATAAAACAGAAGGGAAAGCCTGCCGGGGAAGGGATGGGCTGGGGGCTGTCCTCTCTTATAGGACAGAGGGAGGTGTCCCCTATAACCTGGGGGGAGGAGGGCAAAGGAAAGAAGTGTCCATCTCATCAGGTAGTATGACAAAGGGCCCCCTACAGCAAAATAATTCCCCTTATGATACAGAAGGGCGTCCCGTACAGCCGGAGGGAGGGAATTTCCCTTGTAAGATAGCAAGGTGAGGGGTCCCCCACAAGCTGCCGGGGGTTTCCCCCTTTACAAGGGCGTAGAGTCCTCTGGAGTTAAGCAGCCCCCTTACGAGACAGAAGAGTGGGGTCCCGCACGACTCAGGGGGAACCGCGGGACACTGGCAGGGCTCCAACCCCTGAGTGGGGGACGGGGGAGAGATCGCGGCTCCTACCGGCTGCAGGAGGCGGCCGAGGCCGCCACACCAGGGGTGCTGTCCGCCGGCGGCGAGCGGCTGGCGCGGGACCCGGCACTGGCCCGGCCCCGTCTCCGCCGAGGGGGCTTCTGACCCACGGGCTCTGCCTCCATGATGACAAGTCGCGCCGGGGAAAGAGGAGGGGGAGGATGAAGGGGGGGGAAAAGGCGGGCACCGGACCAAGCCGCACCGCTTCCGCTCGGCTGATAATGGCGACGGCGGCGGCGAACCGGCGGTTTGAAAATGGCGGCGGTAGCGGCGCCAGCCAATCAGCGCGGCGGGCGGGGAGCGTTGCTAGGAGACGCGGGGGGGGGAGGGACAAGCGAGGGGCGCGGCTCTGAGGGAAGAGAGGCGGCGGGGGGGGGTTGATGGCTGTGTTTCCCCCCCCCCCCCCCCAAAAGCGCAGCGCCCCCTAGTGCTCCTCTCGGTGGGAGGACCCCGGCTGGCGGGGAAACTGAGGCACGGAGCTGTTGTGCCCGGCTATCGCCCGCCCTCTCTGTCCCGCCCAGAGCTGTGCTCCCTCTTCTCCTGTCCTCCAGCCTTCCCTTCAGCCTTTTCTCCTCAGCGAACAAGGCCAGCACCCCACGGCCCCTGGGAGGGGAGCAATGCCCTCACCCCCCATCACAGAGAGGCAGAAATCAGCGAGGTGTTGGAGGAGAAACAACTCCCTCCCCAAAAGAAAAACCCATACCTCAGAGATAGGCTCAAAACTCAAAAATTTACCTCAGACATCCCCCTCAAAACACACATGAGCAGTTTAAATGGAGTGTGAGCTTGGGGGTGTCACCCGGGCGTGGGCATGAGGCTGAGGCAGCAGCTTCCCTCACAGAGCACCCTGCCCTCATCCCCTGGCCACTTTTCCCCTCTTGCTTTTACAGGGTTTTCCTTCTCCCCAGATGACATAGGATCACCCCATTCCTGTGCGGCATCATGAAACCGTGCAAAAGAAGGTGGGATTTTCGTCTCCTGCTCACCCGCACAGGGAGGTTGGGATCTCACAGGCTGTGATCTGTCATCCCTGAGCCATGTCCCGACACAAAACCACTGTGTAAACCATTTACAGCGGGGTCTTCAATTCCGATAGTGCTGGAGAAAAGCAGACACCGTGGCTGGACAGACACTGGCTAACAGACCCCAGAATCTCTGCCTTGAAAAGCAATCAAGAGCCCCTCACAGTTCCTCCCATCCCACTTTGGGTTATGTGGTGCTTTGAGCAAGACACTGGATGAACATTTAGACACGCTCAGGTAAAGGTATCAGTTGGAAATGCATCCCACTTGGCTGAGATTTTGATTTTCCTCCATTTTAGCCCTTCTGTGGAAAGTGGCTGTCATGGAGGGGATGGGGTCTTCCCCCTCATGGGGTGGTAGCCTCGACTGGTCCCAGAAGAGAGGGATTATGGTTTATCATTGCTTAGAAATTGGAAGTATCTCCTCTGGAGTCCAAATCTGCCTTTAGACTAGACAGTTTTGGCAGAAAGATCTCCCTTTAACAATGCTGGCACCCCAGGCAGCTATGCTGGAATGGCCTTTTACAGTTGATCATGTTCGTTGCAGTCACAGGTTGATCTCAACTTCTGTGTAGCAGTTGGATGAAATTCTTCAAAACCCATTAAAAACCCCACATATGCACAAGGCATTTCACTGACTTGGCTGTATTTTAGTAATGAATCAGAAATGGATTCTTCAGAGATACTAAAAAACAAATCTAGCTTTTGAAGTGGAACCTGCAGCACAGTTCAGAAAAGTAGATGTCCCCTCTTTAAGCTGAATACAGCAGCCTGCCAAAAGGTTTAATATAACCATATGTGAGACAAAGATTTGAAGGTTTTAGAAAGAAGTTGTGCTGCTATTTTGAAATATACCATTGGGATGGGGGAAAGAGTAAGCTTATCCGATACGCCAGGCTTACACTCAGCAGAATATGCCAGAGGAGCCAGACTCAGCACTGATATTATGCCAAAGCTAAGGGAATTAATTTTGTTTATTTTATTCCAGTGCAGACTTAACATGACAAAACTGTGAAGTTTCTATTTTTGTTCAAACCTAAACAGTTTAGCAAGTTGTATTGCCTCACTTGGTTTTTCATTTATGTTGGCTTATAGTTACTGATAGACATTCAGTACACTTCAGACATTCATCCACTTCATCTCTACCAGACAAATTCTTTCACTTCTTTCCAGTCCTTCTCCACAGCTGTCTTCTACCTCAGAGACCTCCCCTACTCAGCTGGACCCTGGTTTCTGCAGCAGCCATCTACAAACTGATATGTCCTCCTCCTCCTGGTTTGGAAAATCTTCCAGTCTTTCAAGACCTCCTGTTTTTTGCATTCTGCAGCGGCCGCAGCTGCATCCCTGAGCACTATATCCCCCCTGTACAACAGGCAGTGAGCCAAGTCCTTAGCAAATTACTTTTCCATCTAGTTGGATAACTCAGCACAGACATTGGTGATCTGAGAGGTGCTCGTGGCAGGCCCTCTCTGCTGAAACTATAGGTATGTAGGACATGACGGCAAAGCGTAACCAAGGAAGCGGTCACCAAGTGTGTCTCTCTTGGTGAAATCAATCCTAAGGGCTCTGTTAAGCCAAGGATGCGATGGGAGAGGCACCACTCCATCAACAGGTTCAGGTGGGGTGCTGGGTATCCAGGTTGTGGTTCCGGATGTCATAGATATATGACATCTACAGCCTTCTTGTCTCCTGTGGAGCCTGAGCACTCTAGGGTGGGGTGGGAGATCAGCGCAGAGCTGCCTGTGGAAGCTCCCTGCCTTCAAGTCGATTTGCAGAGCTATAGCTTGAATCTGAATGATCAGGAACCCTTGCAGGATCCACCGATCAGCAGGCAGTAGGAGGGGAGTTCTGAGAGACTGGTACAGATGAGTATTCAATCCACATGTAGATTTTTGAAGGCCACACTTCATTTGGAGTCAGTCACAATTGTTCTGAGCTGTGGCCAGACTGGGGAGGGAAAAATAACCTGAAATCTGAACTCAAGCGGAGCCAGGTCTGCCTTGTTATCAAGGCACACCTGCCTGTCTTTGTCTTTCAGTTACGTGTTCGAGACAAAGGAAATATCCAGCTGTCTTCAGCAGAAGTGTCACAGAACTCAGACTGCCTCTGCTCTGCACCCATTGTGCTTTATCTGCCATTTTTGAAGTCTCATCAACCAGTACCCACATCCAGCATTACCTTCCCAGGGGTGCAGCAGTCCCAGACTATTGGCAGCATCTCCTTTCCCACTGACATGTGACTCACCATGAAAGTAGAACAGTGGACACCGATATGAATTTCAACTGTAGTGAAACATGTTCTCCAGAGACCATAGTAAAAGGGAGGTCAGGTGGCAGTGGAAAGAGAGGAACAGAGCAGGGTGAAGTAGACTGGTGTCCTGGGTTTGAGTGAGTGGTGGAGTTTTTTGGAGGCAGGGGAGGGGGCTATAGGGGTGGCCCCCTGTGAGAAGCTTCTTGAAGCTCCCCCAGATCCAAGTCAGCTCCACCTCTGCTCAAAAACTGAGTCAATCAGCTGTGCCTCTGCGATAAAGTATTTAAGAAGGGACATGGTGATGAGCAGGAGGACTTGTGAGGAGGAGTTGCTGCAGCTGCGTGAATGCCAAGGTCAGTGGAGGAACGGAGGGAGAAAGGAGGGGGGAGGTGTGCCGGAGCAGAGACCCCCCTGTATCCTGTGGTGAGACAGAAGGGCGGTCCCCCCCTGCCATTCATGAAGATCTACGGTGGAGCAGACATTGATGTATGGCCTGTGGCTTCCGCCTGATTGATCAAGGTGCTGTGCCCGAAGAACGCCAGGGTCTTGTGGGAAAAGGCAGCCCCGCTGCTGTAATTCAGTGCTGGGAGGATTGCAGCATGCGGGGGAGTCCCACGCCGGAGCAGCTCGGGAAGGGCTGCAGCCGTGGGAGGGAATCCAGTCGGAGGAAGTTAGTGACCCACGACGGAGCAGTGTGGGGAACGCTGCGGCCCGTGGGAGGAACTCATGTCGGAGAAAGTTTGTGGATGACTGTCTCCTGTGAGAGGGGGACCACGATGGAGCAGGGGGAACAAGTTCCAGAAGATCCCCCCACCGAAGATGGCGCAAGCGGCAGCACTGACTGCACCCCCCATTCCCTGCCCCTGCGCCACTGGGGGAGGAGGTAGAGATATCGGGAGCAGAGCTGAGCCCGGGAAGAAGGGAGGGGTGGGGGGAAGGTGTTCTCAAGATGTGGCAATGCTTCTCACTGTCCTACTCTGTTATGTGTTGTTAGTGTCTGTAATAAATGTATGTTCTTTTTTTCTTCCCCTAACGAGTCTGCCTTTTGCTCGTGATCATAAAGGGGGATTTTTTCCCCATCCCAGTCCTATCTCGAACCCCAAACCTGGCTCTCTGTCCCTTCTTATTGCCGGAGGGGAAGGGAGAGAGAGCTGCTGCATTGTGGTTGGCAGCCAACCAGGCTCAAACCACGACAATTGGAATTCAGAGTCACTGTTACCTTTCTCTAGAAGAGTCTTCAGTCTTTATATTAAATGAATTTACATTACAGAGACTCTCCTCAAACTCACATCCACAGTAGTCACAGGATCTGCTGAATAGTGGAAGACAAAGGGGAACCTCAAAGCATGGGCCACATCTCAGAAGAGGGAAGAATCTCTCATTGTGGACCACAGGATGCCCAGCACAAACATTTTAGGAAAATTGAGAGGCCAGTCCAGCTCAAGGGTCCTTTTCTCATCTCTTGTAATCCTCTTTATTAGATTTCCACTGATTTTTGGTATCTCTCCAGTGACTCTGGTCTCTGGAGTTGGATGGATGCTCTGGACAGCTGCTCCCCTAATCCTCTCTCACTCATGAAGGATCCAGAGGAGCTTGTCTTTTGCTTGCTTATGGGAACCCTGTAGTTGGTACTTGTGCTTGTAGTTGGACCCCGTGTTTGAGGCAGTACTGCTCTGTCCATCTGCACACCACCCTCTCTGGCAGAGGTGGAAAAGCAGAACTCCTACATAGGACCAAGGAAGAGGTGAACCAAGACACCCTGAAAGAAACCTTTTCACAGTTTCCATTCCCTGATGAGAGGCAGTAACAACAGCAGCGATTTCATCAGAGGAGCCAGAGGCTGCACAAGAAAATCCTTCCTGACGCTAGGGAGATCTGCCTCTCACACATTCCTCCCTCGTATGGCAGTACCTATCAGACTGGAGACATT